TAAAGACAACCCATCAAAATCCCTCTCAATAATACTAATACAACCAACTCAATGCTGTTGCTAATCTGACTAAAAATACAGTTATGCGCAAAAGTTAGTCGAGGTGAATATTGACTGTATGGGTAACTAAAGGTTCCTTAAATTACAGTAACATAAAAACGTAACCAGAATCAAATATAGCATCAGGATTATTCAATTTGAGCTGGAAGGTTAATTTCTGGAGTTTTATTTAAAGTTTGTCTCTAAAGGTCAACACTAATTATTCACAACCATTAATGGTGACCGAGTTGGCTATTATTAGAGAAAAATTGTTTATTTTCTCTAAGATGCAGGCTACAAAATCTTTTTAAATGAATCAGATTTGAGTAAAATTCATGTTAAAATTCATGTAAAAAGAAAACAGCGCTTAACAGATTAAGAGTCAAGAGTTTAAGATAGCTTTTCACAAAAGGTGACTTTGTGTCCTTCAGCAACAAAGAAGAAGCTGGTCTTACTTAAAGAGCAGCAACATGAAGATGAAGTGGATTCATTTAAATAGCCTCCCTATCCAGGGCCTAATGTAGGAATCCATTTCCATTTCTAATGCTGGCGGGTAGGTGGTCAGCAAAACTTCAGGTTTAAAAAACATAAGGGCAACAGCTGTAATTGAGCCTCTGTAATTATGCAGACAGTGCACAACACACATATTTGCATAGTGTAGGCTACAAAATCAATTTAACCTCAACAAACACAATGTGTGAAAATAAAACAATTTTATTGACGTCTCTTCTAAAAAACATCTTTAAACTGATATGCTTTCTGAATATATATTTATTCATAGAAATTATCAGAAAAATTCAATAAATTCTTTATTTTAGAGATATTTCGATGAGACATTTATCACAAATGTATTTATCTTTTTCATTACAATTACAACTTATTGAGAATTATATTAGCTACGTTTCCATTCTAGTCTGTGTCTTTCTGCGTGGCTCAAACTAATTCACATTCAAGGTTTGCACAATTTTTAATAAATGTATGGAATATTTTTAGCATATTAATTAAAATGTGACCACTTATTTTTGTCTAAATAACTTATTCATTGTTATCAGAATTTAATTAGCTTTATTGTGTTTTCTATGCAACGTTCAGGTATACTACTGTGCTCTACTGATTGTATTTGCATATTTATAACATCCTACATGGATGAATACTTCAGCGTCATTAACACACTGATTCTTACGGATAAAGGTTGGCTACAAATATAAGCTAAGGCATCTGAATTTACTCTATTAATATCAATCTTCTCTCATAACTTTCTCCAACTCTGGATGTGAACGAAGCAGCAGCAGGTGCAGGACCAACAGGCGTGTGTTGCAAGAGATGTGCACCAACTTTGTTAACAAACTCAATTTCCTCTTTCACCTTTCTTCTCACACGCTCCCACCTAACACCCAGGGACACACAGTCATCTCCTTTCGTCTCATTCACACACGGTCCCAGACTCATCAGCACTTCTTTTTCCCCCACTTTCCCCAGCATGCTTCATAATTATCACATAGCAGCTCATTGCACACGGCGCCATCTGTTACTCGGACGCATGCGCACTCCGACGCAGCAACAAGGCGCTGCCAGATGCCGTGGATTTTGAGTTAATAAAACCTAGCATGCGTGGCCAAATCTGCAGCAACTGTTTTAAATAAAGGGGATAAGGAATTAGCCCTAAAGAAGTATTAATCTATTATCACGAAGCAACATTCTCATGCAAAAACATTATCTCAATATAAATACTCTGCGTTTAAGCTGGAAAAGATTTGACTTCTTTTTATGCCAAAATGAGAAATCATCTGTAGCCCAAAGCATATTCTACATTATTCCGTGACTCCGAGGATGATGCTAAAATGTATTCATGACTGAGAAAGAGACAGAGCCTTGATGCACTGGAGAAGATGTGCTGAAGTGGTTGAACACCATGAACTTTAGGCCAAACTTTCAGGATTGACTGTGACACATTTATGAAGAGGCTGGATAGGGCTGAATTAACTGGAAAGTGGGGATGTGAACCACAGCTGCACAATAAAATTGTGAAAAGATCTCCATTGCAATATCGCTGTTTATCCTAGAAAGACTGTTTGGAGTGCAAGAACTGTTGGAGAATATATTTCAAGTGTTATGAACTTGCATTTTTAATGCTAAAGTAATATTCAGCCAGCTGTGCAGAGTCCCTTACACTGGACTGCATGTTTGTTGCAGAAAAATACATTTTTGTTTAAAGTGCCTTGTAAAGTTAATTAAAGCCCCTTGAGGAGTGACCCAAATACTGTTCTTAATACAAGTTTAATTTTTTTACAATTCCATGACTTTCTTTCAAAAAAAAAAAAAAAAAAATCAGACTAATTAAAATATTGCATCCTTGGTTCATTGCTATGCAGGCAAAAACTATTAACAACATAATTTTTTTTTTTTTTTTTTTCCGTATTTAATCTACATTGTTTTGACCCGGGAGTACTTTTGACAAACAATTTTGTTTCTTAATTGAATTAAGGTCTGGACTTTGACTAGGACATTCTAATACAGGAGCATGCTTTGACTAGACCATTCCATTGTAGCTCTGGCTGTCTCTTTAGGGTCATTGTCTTGCTGGGAGCCTTCTGCTGCCGCAACAATTTTCAGAATATTTCCTAAAAATTCGGGGAACAACGCATTAGTTTCCCTTCACTTCACAATTCGAACTTTTAAATTATATAAACCAACAACCGTATTGAGGTTTAAGGTTGTAATGTGAAAAAAAAGTTGAGAAAGCTTCAAGAGAAATGAATGCTTTTTCAAGACACTGAACACGTCCGTCCCATTGTATCTTATTTTTACGCCTACATTGTGTACTTGTCCCTGGGATTAGTTGTTTTTGCTCATGTTTCTCTCCCTTAAATTCAGACGAAATGGATAAAATGAATGATCACTGAAAGCATAAAACACGAATCAACTGCTGGGACATAAAGCAGAAAGAAAATGTTCTGACTTCTGCTAGCCGACACCCTGCTTTGTAATATTTTTCCTTCCAGTTGGAAAATGCGGTGCCCTATCCCGAACATTTTACAGAAAAGACCACTGACAAGTGCTCCTTGTTTCTCTGAAGTTAAAGGCACTGCGGCCTGATCCATATCGACATCCTGTCACCTCCACCATGCCTCGATCGGGCGGAGGAAAAACTAACCCAATTTGTGTCCAGTAAACAAGTAGTTCACTTCATATGAAGTATAAAAAGTCAACAGCAGAGCTGCAGTTCATTTGTGGAGGCGCCCTCGTAACGGTTAATGAGCATCTCTCCAGCCCGGCCACGCCATCCTTACCTGCCAGGACCGACAGAGCAGCCAATTAAACATCAAACCGCGCTGACATCAGGATGAATTAGACCTGCCGTTGATGATTTATACATTCGTTATCATGGAGCTGCCAGGACACCAGTCCTCGAGCTGGAACACAATCAAACGTTCTCACTTTTCCTCTCCGTGTGCAGCTTTGGAGGGGACTTCTGCTGTGTGCAAACGGAGGTACTCCCCCTCTTCAATTATTTACAGGAAGCCCTCATGCATCTGTGACTTTCAGCGACAGGCTGAGAAAGCCCAGCAGAGCGGCGCAGAGCGCCGTTAGTCCTCTTCCCAATTACTATTTTCTCTTCCTCTCATCCCTTTACAAACAATGTTTCCTCCTCTCAATCCTTCCTGGTTCTTGTCCAACTCCCTCATCTGTTTACATGGTTTTCTTTTCCTCTTCCAAATCTTTTCTAAAACAGTTTTTACCCTGCTTTTTCTTTTCCTTTCTCACATACAAACCTGCTCCCTCTTCGTACCTTTGTTCCTCTCAGCTGTCATGTTCGTTTCCCTCATTTAACCTCTTCCCCTCCCGCCCGCTTCTATTCCCCCGTCCCCTCAATCACCTATCCTCTCATCTCATCACCTCTTGTCCCCTCTTGTCATCTTCCCCCCAAAAAAGAAAAGAAGGGGGAGGAAGGAAGGATGAAGCAGGAAGTAAGGGACATCGGTGGATGAGTGTGAACTCCTTCTGAAGAGTCAGCATGGAAATAATTCATATTCTGCTCCATCTTACCCACATCGCAGTTCCTGTACCTCACCTTCCCTCTGTTGTTCGCTGCTCTGCTTGCTCTTCACCTCCTCCCCCACCTCTATTTCTCTGTCAAACCTCGTCTTTCATACTGTTCTCCCCGTCTCCTCAGAGTAATTTTGCTTTTGATTTTACCATTTTCACATCTGCTGGTCTTTGCCAAGATGCTTCTGGCAAGGACACCGAAACACATCGCTGTCAAATTCACTCAAACTGAAGGACTATTTGTCATTTAGGCAGATTGACAGCCTCAGTGATATTTTTTGTTGTTGTTGTTGTTGTTGCCGTTTTCCTGATTATTAATGTCAAGTAAGGTCTTGACTGTTGTTTGCTACTTACTCGTTAATTTTCTAAAGTCTAAGTTTTATACACATTTTTACCAGGGATGCCACTAAATGTGGAAGGTGCTGCATATGCATTGGGAATAATGTCATTTTAACTGCTTACATTATTTTTTCGGATATTTGGATACAACATTTTGTAAACTAATCAATTTGTTACAACCTTTGTAAACCCTTATTTGGTGAACTAAATAAGTTCTAGTTTTCGTTTGAATTCAAAAAATAAGAATATAAAACATTTTCTGACATCCAATAAGCCACATCCCTCCTTTGGAAGCTCAGGTAGTTTCCAAATGTCTCCCACCTCTGATCACAGCTGAAGTCAACAGATGCATCATCTCCAAGCCCCACTGGCCAACGACTCACCCTGGTGGATAAACCCGGGCCGATATTTCCGTTTGTGTCTAATTAAAGTTCCCGAGGGGACCGCAGCGCATCTAAAACCAAGAGGAACCAAACGCCGTTCTTGCCAGGGCTGAAGACGACAGCTGTGATGGCGGACGGCGTCCGTTAGCAGCTTCTGATAAGCCTGTCTGCGCGTGTCGCCGGTGTGCTCACCGAGGAGTAAAGGTGACCCTCTCCGTTCATGGCGATGTAGAGACCCGTCTTGACTGATTGGATGGCCACGACTCTCAGACCCACAGGAATTAGGTTGAACAGAGCTGAGGACAAACAACACAAGAGGAATTAAAATGGAAACTTGTGTTTTAGATGCATTAATGAATGTTGCTGCATTTTATATAGTACTGTCGAGCGATTAAAAAATGTAATCAGATTAATCACACTCTCGCACTGTGATTAATCAATATAGTTAACTTTGTAACCTTGAAATGTAAAAATGCACATTTTCATTTAAGAAAATGTTTTACTGTCTCAAGTCAAACATCTCAGTTTTCCATGACTTCATATTCAGGAAGAAGTCATTTTGTTTCAAATGTAATTCAGAAATTTTAAATTGGTTGTGCTTCGGTGGAAGATTACCGTGGTTTTACCCAGAAGACCATTGTGGTATTTTTTTAAGAATTGCTTTGGTGCTACAGGCCTTTATTTGGCAGTAATCAGACAGGAAGCGGACAGAGCAAACGATGGTGAGAGACTTGCGGCTAAGGAACCGAGGACAGGAGTCGAACTCGCATTGAGGTCTATATCCTCTGCACAGGGCATCCACTCTAATCATGGTATTTTTTAAACTAAAACTTTCCATCGAGCACATCAGTCTGACTCTCCTCACTCGTCTTTTCACTCGCATTTCCCAGTCTGTATTGTTCAGCACAGTACAAGACCGTGTAATGCCCTGCTTTGAAGTTACCCTCTGCGGTAGAGAGACTTTTAGGTCAAAATAGAATAGGTAAAGCTATTAATCTGCATTATGCAATATTAATACGTTAAACTTTTTAGATTAATCACATGCTGCCCTAATTTTAAAAGAACATGAAAAAAATCAGACGGTTTGAGACTTCACTAAACAATCTCAACTAAAACGGGACTGAGGTTTTCTGATTGCTAGAAAGTATCTAATCATGATTTTTTTAAAAACTTAATAGAAACAAATGTGCTTCACAGGTGATGAAAAAGTCAGGACTAGTCCCATCATTAGTTAAAATTATTTCTCTTTTCTTTTGTGTCTGGCCCATTTTAAGTCCAGTTCTGGGTGGATTTAATGGTCTGTGTTGGGTCATTGTCATGTTTCAGGGTCCAGGTCTGTTTCAGCTTTGATTTAATTATTATTTTTCTACAGATAGTCTCACATTTTAACCCTCTGATATCCAGTAAAACTCATGTTGGATTCTGACAATGAGCTGGAATAAAAACATAACCACAGCAAAACCAAACATTCTGTACTTTTTTTTTTACAGAATGTTTGGTTTATGCTTCCATGCTCATCTCCCATGAAAGTTAAACTCATGCAGTCTTTTTCAAGATGTGCAGGCATGCATGTTCGTATCAAGAAAGAAAGAGTCTGCTATGCATCTAGCAATGACATTTTAGGGGTTTTGGACTCTTCATATAGCCTGTTCAAGTCTTCTTTCAGGGTGAAATTGCTTGAACAGCCACAGGTGGCCATGTTGGAAGTTGTTTTCAGCACTTTTTAAATCCCTCATTAGACCCCTAAGCTGCTTTAATCTCCTCTCTGAAGGCCTCGGAGAGCTCTCTGGGTCTGTTCGCTCTCACTTCAACAGTTGGAAGAACCAAACTAAATATGTCAGGTTAAAACTGAGCAATCATACTGTCAAATGCGGTGTACTACTGTTCTCCATGTTTCTGTTAGGACATAAGAGGGACGAAATGTGTGGTTTTCTAATTTATTCCACATGAAAAAGTATACAGTTTTTCTATATTTTACTTCAAATTATCTCTTTTGTTTAGTTGTATTTCTTATTTATGCCTTGGGATTGTCAGAAGTGACCCTATTTTTCTGTCCCACATGATACTTTGACAAAGCCAATTTAGACTTTATGACATTTTAATATCACTCACAATTCATTTAATTTAGAAAGAGGCTCAGTAGCTCATAACCCCTGCAGGTCAAGTCTAAAGAGCAGCACTCTGTGACGGTACAGGAACAGACAGAGCTTTGAACTGCAGCCATAATGTTTTGAATTATCTTGTGTCAGTACAAAAACTGTATCTTTTTTTTTTGTAACCCTCTTGACAATCGCAGAAGTAATTCTCATAAAAAATCTAGAAGAGGTCATGAGTTGTTGAGTGATTTTCATGGCCCAAAAGAAGAAAATCGTAGAATCTTTCTTTTTAAATAGAGATATGTTTGAAGCGTTACAGCAGCAGCTTTGGAAATAAAAAAGAGAAACTCATGTAAGAGAAACCAACTGGTCAGAATCTCTAAAATCTCATGTTTTTCTCATCATTAAACACATCGTGCTAAGCTACTAGGTCACCCTAACAGCAACAGCCATCAGTGTGGAACTTGTAAATGTGTGAAAAAGACTCAAAGTGTGAAAATATTAATATTAAGCTGTTAAAAACAAAGTCAGGAGAGAATGCAATAAGGTATCTTAGATAAAACTATGTTGAACTCAACACCAGAGGTTCGTTCAGGCTGCAACTTAAAGAGAGTCACAGTTTAGAAGACAACAGGAAGGCTACTCTGGTATCAAAGCAAGGTTGGATTGTTTCTACGTTTGAGCTTTCCACCTCTGTGACAGAACATGCTGGATTCAGAAACTCTGGTAGACTTATGAAAGAGTCAGTGCAAAATGCATACAGAGACACAGTAATGCTAATTGCTCTAATTACTAAAACGAGATGAAAGAGAGTTTAAAACTTGGATAAGTGCATCTCGTCATTCACGGAGGCGGTTTCTTCATCTGTTCCTGGTCAGTTTTAGCATTTCAGTGCAGTACGTTAGTGCATTGATGAGAATCATCCCACATGAAAACCATTGGCTTCTTCAAAGATTTTTCCACTTCCACTGGGTTTGGGAGCTGATTTATAGTCCATCTTGAGCCTGAAAAGGTCCAACTTGCTCATCTGTAATAACACCAGTACATACCAGTAAGCCTTACTAATGTCTCAGTCAAAGTGGAGCTGGGTGTTCAGACACACTTATATCATCAGTCTGTAACACCTTTAAAAAAATCTGTTTTCAGGTATTTCTTGGTCCAGTTTTGACGTTTCATCTCATGATTCTCGTTCAGTAATGGCCGGGTTTCAGTCTTCCCCGTCTCTGAGCTCTGAACATCTTGTTCTTCTGGGCTCTCCAGGAAGGTTGCGGTTCCTATTTTTTTCCCCTCAATATATTTCTTGCATCCCTGTTGACTATTTTTCAACAAAATGCTTGACAGTTCTGTGCACATGGCAGAACATTTTGACACAAGAGGGCAGAATTCCTTCGAAAAAAGTTGGTTACAATCTTTTTTTTAGAGTACAACCTGCCTGGAAATTATGCACAACACATTTCACCTGATGAGCTTAAATCCAATAAGGATTCACGTTTCCACAGATTGGAGTTGGAAAATATGATTAAAATGTTCACTTGCCTAGTAATTGCACAGGCAGTGTACTTCAGCTTGTGGAAACCCTTATATCCTCTCTAAAAATGAGACTGCACATCAGATGAGGTGCTAAAATTAGGGAAAATGTCGCAGGACATTTTCAAATAAAATTGTGGGGACAGTTTAACTCTTCTGCTTTGTTTACACTCAGCGATCCAGAGAGGGATGCTTAGCGATGATGTCTTTCTTTATCCTCCACCACATTTCTCGTACATTGTGTACTTTGTTCAAAAGAGGTATTCATTTTCAGAGATATTCCACATCAGTCTGACTAGATGAGGTGCTGAGACCCCTTTTAGCAGAAAAGCTTTGAGACACAACATTAAAAATGACATTAAAACGTAATTTAGCTGTCTGTTCATCTGACAGACTGAAAGAAGAGAAACATTCAGCATTTAAGACACACAAAAAATACAAAATGATGACGGGCAACTGGAGAGGGAGCAATTTTTGTTCTAAAGTGCTAAAACAACAGGATCTTTCTTCTGTTCTAGTCGACTGCTGTTCGCTGCTTTAAGCAGCTTTTAGTGCCGAAATCTTCTTATTTTGCTGGAATTTTTGGAAAAATAAAGAAGCACTATTGATATGTGATTTATAGAAACTAAATACAAGCTTCCCCTTGTCATTTCTTTGCAAATCAAGTCTCCAATAACTGAAATAAACATTTCCTAACTCTGCATCGCTGTATGTTAGGAATCAAACCCTTTCTGTTTGTCCTTTGGCCTAAATTACCACATGAACATTAAATAATTATCTTTCGATCATTTTTATTAAAGGGTATGTTTTAACACTTAATGCACTACACAAAAAATTGATACAGGTAGCTAAATATTATTTTTGACATTTTCAAATGTAATATTTACAGAACGTAATTGCATTCATAGATGCAATTAGAAATATGCATCTATGAATGATTGAGTAAAAAGAGATTAAAAGCTGGTAATGTTGAATTTAATAAATTAGAGGGTTTTCTTCTCTTCTCTTTGAGCCAGAGGATTTTTAATAATATTTGGAAATCATAAATCTACATTTAAGACACTTAAAAATAGATATATTAATTAATTCATGGCTTTCTGTACATTTTCCATCAGCTGTGCCAATACATTTTGATTAATTTCATGCAAAAAACCAAGAATATAAATTTATCCAAATGAGACACAGTGACTGTGAAAACAGAGAATGTTTGTTTGTCTTTGCAGTCAAGAAATGATTACTACTGCTGCTCTCAGTCAAGGCTCTAAGAATTTAACGGCATCCGTTTTCAATGTTCGAACAAGATGGAAGAAAAATGATGGATTGTTATTTTTTCCATCATGTGAAGACTCCAGCAACAATGAAAGTGCTAAAAAAACAACTTCACAAAACACAATGAAAAAAAAATATTACTCAGTACCTCATATTTTGCTGGGATTTAAAGTAAAAAAAAAAATTAAGTTGTCCTATTTGGATACAAACAAAATAGGGAAATTCTGGGAATTTTGTTTGATTTAGACCCTTCATAAAAAGTAAAATGTACAAAATGGTGAGTAAAACTGATAAAGTTGCAGAGAGTCGACAGAATATAAACAGACGGACTGAAGATTTTGGCCTGACAGCAACGCCAACGTGGGGATGAGTCCTTGGACCTGTGATATTGCTGTTCAGAACGTGATTTTCTCTAAGCGTCAGTAATGAAAATACTCCAAAAGCTGACTTGTAAATTATCCATCAGTAACTCCTGTCTGACGGCTGCATGTAGGAAAAAAAACTACGGAAACAATTCCCTGAGAAACCACTTTAAATCATTCACTACCTAAAACTGAGCTATATCAATATTTATACTGAAATTTTCAGTCCAGGCTGATATGACTGACTGAGTGTATTTCGATCATAAATTGTAACAGGGGCACCTCTAGCTTCAGCTAACTGAAATTGATGCAGCAGTTCTCTTATTTGAAAGAAAATAAGAGAACTGCTGCATCAAATTAAACCATTTGGTTTAATTTTCATCATATTAGATAAATTTGGAGAGTTGTTCAAGTATCACTGCTGATGAATATCTGGGCCTTGAGAGAAATATTTCACTTTGCTTTTTATTCCAACTTTTTTCAGTCTCAAAATACTTGCTTTAATTAAATCTGTTGATCCCATGAAACACACATTCCTCTGCCTTATATTTTAGCACTCAATATTTACTCAACTTTAATTTAGTGCACACTTTTGATTAGATTTTACATTTTGTGCTCACACTCCAAATATTACTTAGAGCTCAATCTGAGTCTGAAAACTAAATAATTTGAATAAACTTTGTCAATTTTATCAGTAAAATTGCTCAAATATCCATATTGCTCAGTTATGCTAGATGCTTGCTAATAGCTACAAAAAGCTTTTGATCAAGGTGCAACTTGCTAACCAAGTGTCCATTTTATGGTATGTGTATATTTGAGTCTGAATACATATTTTTAACCAAGTTGGGTTTAAAGCAACTTCATAATAAATCCAAACTTGGGGAAAAAAAACACTCATTCCAGCTTTTGGTTTGATCATTCACCCTGAAAATAAAACAATGACTCAAACCAATCACTAAAAACCCAAAGTTAGTAAAATTTGTGCCCAAGACCAGAACCGAATTTGATTATGTTGGAACAAAAAGTCAAACAACCTCATTTTTTAGAGCTAAACTGGCCAAAACGTAAAAAGACTGATTGATTGATTGCTTGTTTTTTTTAATCATCTTCTACGAATGCGTGTTTGTCGTGTGCACTAACAGGAGTTGGTGCTGTCATCTTTGGTCCCGTCCAGACTTCCATCCTGGCCCATCTGGAGATAGAAGCCTTGCCTGCAGAACAACCTGGTCACTATGCCCTTCAGCTGCGGTTCTACATGCAGAGAAACACAAATGAGACAACAGATACCGTTATTCACACTTCAAAAAGAGTTTGAACCAACTTCAAGAGGGACTTGGACTCTAATGCACAATGCCATCCTGGAAGCACCATGGAGGGCACCTTTGTGATAAAACACCTTTTTAAAGCAGCACAATGTGACCACATGCAACCTCCTGCATCCTGAGGGATTTCCTTTGGAAAGCCTAGTCAAGCACATCCAATCCATTACAGGATTCCTAGACTAATCCGTCCTTCGTGGTCATTGTTCCACTTGAATAACATTGATAAATTATTTCTGAAGCTTTGATGCTAAAGTGCAGCCTCGCAGCAGTTTTGTACATACCCAGCAGGCCTTGTGATTGTATAGTGTATTGATCTGCAGACAGGGGTATCTGTTCCTTTATCACAGGGTGTGAACGTGTGCAAAAAAAAAAAAAAGGAGAAATGGGACAACCTGAAATTCTTAATCCCTCTTTCCTCAATATAGGAAGGGCTTTTCAGTGTTGAAGGAAGAATTGGTGAGATTAAAAAAGTGCGACGTGACTGAAATGTGTGTCTGTGAGCTAATTAAATTAAGTGGAACAGTAAAGTATTGGGGTTTAACCTCATCTGCACTGAAATTATAGGCAGATTTATATCAGGAGAAAGTGGTTAACAGTGTAGAAACCCTGAAAACAATGAAAAGTGAGACTCAAACAATTTTTAGAGGAAAAAAAGGAGAGAAAACTCCGGCTGCCAGAGTCAGAGTAAAGGGCACCTTGAATGTATCTCAGAGAAATAATCGACTTTACTAATGTAGCCGCGTCTGTTGAGACGCTCTCAGAATCAGGATGGATGAGAAACGACACATTTCACATTTTAGGAGATCCCAAAATCATGAAATCCAGATTTATAATGATAGACGGTAAGGAGAAAATCCAGTCTCTGATTTGTAAGCTTCTGATTAGATTTTTGTCTTTTTTTAATCAGCAGGTTTTAGATCTTAGTCTGATTTACTGTAATCTGAGTCATCCTGATCTGAGTCATTGATATTTTACCGTCTGGCATGTAAAGAAATAAGCAAAACAAAACAACACCAAACGGAAAAGACGTACACCGGTCACCTAATATGGCCGCTCGCCCAGATGCATGTGACCACGCCCGCGGTCTCCTCGTGAACCCCACCATCAGTGACTCTGCAGTTATAATAATGAGAGTGGGAATCCCCTTTGAGTGTGCGAGAGACACAAGGTGAATCATTGACGGTACACCCTCTAATGCACAGAGACAGAAAAGAGCTGCGATTGACCCAGTTTTTTTCTGTCTTTCTTTCAGGAGGGGCGCGAGCCGAGCGTGAGGGGTGTTTTCCGTCTTTGAGGGATCCATCTTGTGCAGCAGCAGGAGGAGAGAGGAGCGGTGATGCTCAAAACCAGCACTTCCACTGCAATTCCCAGCGCGCTGCTTGGCGTGGAGCGTGGTGAAGTCAATAAAAAAAATATGAAGAATAGTTGATTCATCCAGAAAATGCACGTTAAAAATCTTAATCTTTTTTTTTACCTGTTTTTATTTAGAAATTATGCTAAATTATTGATATGTCCATCTCACCACCAAGAAAGAACTAAAGCAATGATACAAGGACAGACAGAGGGAAAGAAAGAGAAAGAGGAGGGTCAGAAGGATGCAAGAGGGAGGATGAGGAAGGACAAAACAGAAGGACACAATGGAGGGAGAAAGGAAAGGTGCATGAAACCACAAAAGCACACAGGAAAAAGAATGGAAGACATGAAAGGATGGAAAAAGGAAGGGCAAAGGAACAAAGAAAAGAGTAAGAAAGACTGAAGAAAAAGAAAGACACAAGGACAGGACAGAGGAAAGAGAGAAACAAGAGAGGGAAGGATACAAGAAAAAGGAAGGAATAGACCAGAAATGATGCATGGAAGAAGGAATGTTCAGAGAAACAATGAAAGGAAGGAAAAAAGAAAGGATCACCACAAGGAATGAGACAAGGAAGGACAACGAGGAAGGAAATGAAGTAAGAAAAAAGGAAAAACACAAGGGGAGGAAGGATAGAACAAAGGAATGATATGAGGAAGGAGAAAAGAAGGACACAAAGAAGGACAAAACATTTAGATAGATGGAAATCTTACAAAAATGTCAATTGTATTTAAACACCATATTTGAAACAAAAAAGTTTCAAATAAAAACAAAATTAATGACATGATCAAATTAAAAGTGAACTCCAGCAAAAGACAGTAAATTTTCAGGCAGGATTTATCAAACGGTTGCAGAACGAATATTAAGAGTCAGATTCCCTCTGTTCTTCAGTCGCAGTGCGCTTCTGGAGTTATACGGCTCAAGCAATTTAGTTAAATCAATTTTTAACTTTCAAGGCAAGTCCAAGGTATAAAAGAAATAAATGAAATCAACAAGAAGGTATTTTCATACTTTTTCAGATGTGGAAAAATGCAGAAATCCAGTTACATTCTCTCCCAAACTGTAAAATTGTCTTGTTACATAATGCATCATTAATAACATTATTAGGAGGAATCATAAAGGATATTTCTGTTTCAGAGACACATCTAGGTCGCCCTCTGGCTCTGTTCAGATCCCTGGGTTTTGTGATAAAGATAAGTATAAACATGTTTCAGGGTTGTTGTTGTGACTCAGCCAACAGAAATCTTCAAGGCTACAGAGTTTCAATATAAAAAAAATAATAAAAATAGAGGTTTTCTTAAAGTTGGTTTGACGTCTTAGCTCTTGGCTCACAGCGTAGTGGCCTCTCTCCGCTGAATATTAAACTTAATACATGGCAACAACATTTTTTTCCTCTCAGTGCCAAACTGGAAAACAAATAAAACTCACAAATAAACCTGAAATTGTTGCGAATCCATTTATGCAGACGATGACTAAAACACTAGTGGAAGATGAAGTAGTGTGTAATTGTCTTGTTGTGGTTTTATTACATTTATTACAAATAAAAAATTATTAGATCCTAGCTGGTGGTGGCTTTAGTTGCAAACAGAGTTGGTAACTTAAATTGAAAATATAGCTGGTAGCTTAAGCTACCAACTGGATTGAGCTGAACTCTGTGGTAACTTAAAATATTTTATTTTATAACCAAATCTTGACTCTCCAAATGTTCCTCCCTCACCTGCCTGCTGTGCTCCTTGAGCTTCATGAAGCAGCTCTTGCTCGCTAATGTTCTCTAACAAACCTCCGAGGCCTTCGCAGAGCCGCTGGATTTATGTTGAGATTAAATTACACGCGGGTCGAACCATTATCCACTTTTTCTTCCACTTCACAACTAAGCAGTGTTTGCTTTCGGTCCATCACAAAGGAGACGAAATTCGAAAACGTTTCAGCCGCGTAGATGTTTTTCCAATGCTCTTTTCAGGAGTCCCCAATGGTGTGTGTAATGAGAACACAAATGTTGCACGCAGTCCTTGCACTAAATAAGAAAGCAACAACTTAGAGCAGCAGCTTTAAAAGCTTATTGACCAAATGCACTCCTAATTACAGTGGGACAGTGATGAAAGGTAATAAAAAGCCCCGATACACACATCTAATTTAGTTTTGATTGCGCCTCTTCTCTGTTTTCCAGTGGTCACTTTTTTATCTCCTCATTTCAAGGCTAATGAAGCTACCTAGGAGGTCTCATTAACACTTGCAGAGATATATTTGACTTGCCGCAGCTGTGCTGCCCAGCAGATGACAACCAGGGCTGCAGTTTTCACAGCTCACAGTGTTCCTGGCAGACCTTCCGCTTCCACATACTGGATAAAAAAGAAAAAAAAAATCTGACATTAATATTAAGACTGATTCTTTGTTCTTTACTCTCAAGATGTTATGAAATAAATGCTATAAAATAGTTTAAAACTATATTTCCAAAGGAATATTTAAAGAAGATTTTTAATGCAATTTGAATTCATGTTTATTGGTTATGTTCTTTTTTTTGGAAAATAAACATAGACAGAACATTTGTGTTCTCATTACACACATCATTGCGGACTCCTGCTAATAGCGAAGCTGATTTTTCAATTAATGTTTTCCCATTTTGCTAACTTTGAAAACATTTAGCACACTTAGCACCTTGTATTTACAAAGTGGAATACAGTATTCCAGATTACTTTTGTTTTCAATAATTGTTCTTTTAGAAATATTTTTCTGCCCTGGTAGGCTTCTTTCATCCAGCTTAGTTCCAGTGTGCAGCAAGAGGTGGGAGAGGGACAGCGATGCTTTATTCTGTGGTACATTCAACTGGAAAAAAAACTAGCTGATATGAAAAACTAAAAACGAATTTTACTTGCAGGAAAGAACTTTGTTGTTGTTGTTTTGAAAATTATCCCTTTCCAAAAACTCAATACACCTTAATACCAGCAAATGGCATCAAGGTATATTGAATTGATTTAATGTAAGATGTGAATTCGTTTGTGCACATTTATGCTGCCATGTTTTTTTATATATGTTTTCCTCCTTTTGTTAGATCAGTTTAGCAGGATAACACATACGTATATGAAAATGAGTTAATAATCTCAAGTAGCGTAAACGTGGATCTTTACACACATGCATCCATTCATCCAACTGCTTGTCCGTTTGATCAGAATCAGACTTCCTGAGTAACCAAGGTGAGATTCCCACTCTTCCCAGTATCTCTCGTGTCCCTTTTTTTTTGTTACTAGGGAAATTCCCATCCTCATGTTGCCATGGGAACAGTCTCGTGATTCCAGACTGTTCCAGAGAAAGGGTATTCCCCCATCCACACGCTCACACACTTACAAACACACACACACGCACATGGATTTGCTCCCACGTTGCCCGTATTTTGGAGACAATGCGATCTGATTGAATCAGTCAGCCAATCAAGGCTGCCACGCGGATTTGACATATTGCGTTGTCTGTTAATTCGTCAACACGCGGCGCTAAACGGCGTACAGAGCGGCGCCTCATACGAGCGAGGCATTAAAGATCGCGGCGCACGCAGCATCTTGACAAACGAAAAGCACCCAAGTGAGGAATTCATGTGCAGCACCCATTTGATCCTCATTTACCTCAGCTCGATAAGTGATTACAGACACACACTGAAATGTAAACGGCAGATCTGGAGTGATAAACCTGAACTAATGCCAAGAAAAGATAATGATTGAATTCCTTGCAAGTCTGCAAACAATCTTTATGCTTTCGTATGTTATTCCAGATTCTGAGACTTTGGTAGGAAAAACACCGGTGTCATTTATTGATTATGCTTATTGAGCAATTGCATCAACCTCGAGCCAAAGGGAACGCCCTGTCCAGACAGCCAGTCACAGACCTGACTCTCCCTGGGTTACATTAATCACCAGCAACGTCTTTAATGTGAAACAATTTGGTTTGGTTATCCAGTCGAGGCATTTTTATTTCGAGCGATTCTCTTTTCTTCCACCTGGAGTCAAGTTTCCGTTGTAGCATGAAACCGGAGAGGAAGAGCTACCTTTTAACTTGGCCTTTGACTCGTGTTCTTCCAGAGAAATGCGCAGGTGATCGGGGTCAGCTCGGAGACATGGGCGCCCCTTTACATGTCCTGACTAAATACCAGGTCAGGCTTCAGCAAGCTGGACAGTTTGCTGGTTCAGAAAAACATTTCCATCTCCATCAAATACTTCTGAGGCCATTTTTGTGTTTTTTTTTTCCTTCAAATTTTCCTCTTTATTTCAACGCAGACTTTTCCATACTTTTCATCTCTGAAGAAGCAAGTTCTTGTTTCAGCGCATTATCAATTCTGCCTTCACAGTCTCCACAGATTTTATACAATCACAGCTATGAGCAAAAACCTGCAGAACCAGACGAACTGTTAACCTCAAGACTCCTCGTTAACAAACACAAACATGGAATGGATTTATTGCAGCAAAATCTGTTTTTAAACGCTCTTTCCACTCCAAGAATGAGCATAAAATTACTCATAAAATACTTAGCAGGAGTATTAAACTAAATAATTTTGTTTCAATGCAGCAAAAATCCTGTATGTGTGTTACACAGTAGATTACAAATTTGCACCTAACAGTGAAGCGAAATCTTAAAAGTGTGGCATGCATTCATTTTCAACCCCCTTTTTCTATGATATTCTTAAGAAAATCCAATGCAATGTTTTGCAAGCATTCTTGAAAGAAGTCCTGCTTGATGTTGCAGGTGACACAAATATGCAAATAAGGAGTCTGGTCTAGATTGATTGGCATGCACGCAACACGGTGGGGTGGTATCATGCTGTGGTGTATTTTTTGTTCCCACAACAGGGATTGAAACACTGGTTAAAGTTGATGGGGGGTGGATGCAAAAAAAAGTATGAGACTGGGGCAGACGTTCATCACAGATCTACAAAAGGATGGTTAGAGTTAGGGCATTTGGCCCAGTCAAAGTCCAGTATTAAATCCAATTTAGAACATGTGGAAGGACTCCATTCAATCTGAGTTAGCTTGAGTCATTTTGCAGGGAAGAATGAGCGAAAAATCCCAGAAGTTGTAGCTGTAACTGCAGCAGAAAGCGTCTCTTCAAAGCAACTGACTCAAGGGGTTGAGAAAGGCACACTTTACCTTTCAGACTTCTGTTTGATAGAATTTTGAAAACCGCCGATTATTTCCTTTCCACTTCACAATTACACACTTCATTGTGCTGCTGAATCACCTAAAATCCCCATAATAAAATGAAGTTCGTGATTGCAAAGTGAGAAAAAAAATCCAGAGAGGAAGAATACTTTGACAAAACGACACAGATTTGTGTTTTTCTGTTGCCCAACTCAGACACGATATGAGAGCATTTATGTTCGTAAACCTGTAGCTATTTCACAAAGCAAACAACGAGGGAGTTCATCACCTCAGGCTGTCGGAAGCAATCATTTCCACATTGTTAAAACGCATTTAATTGATAAGGGAAATTGACAATTATTTGCCACGTCCAAACAGACAGAATCTCTTGTTTTCCTCTACTGTAAATAGGTCTATAATTTAAAGCAGCAAATGAGCACCGGATGTGTTTGTAGCAATGGAATTTAATTTAAAAAATTATAATTATTGAGAGAGAAAAGGAAAGCAGAAGACCCTGCCCAGTGGAGAAAAGAGGACACGGTCTGGGGAAGCTGCTAGAAAGGTCATTTGCCGTCTCCTTCCTCTTACCAGCATCATCTCTTTGATGTCACGCACTTTCATCAATGAAACTAAACGTAAAACATAATTTTCTATCAAAAAACCTTTTCTACAGACTGTGAATCCCTGTCTGATGTATGGCTGATAGATTTCACCTCCCGACGGTGTGACTCAGCCAAAAGGAATTTCTTAAAGCTGAAAATTAGATTTTTGATTGAAGTTTCTATTATGCTTTTATGCAGCCCCAACGGCGCAGAGATCAAGTTTGTTAGCAGCTTTTGTTTCAGCTAAAATCTCACACAAAATTAGATTAAAAAAATAAAAAAATAAAAAAATAAGTGAATTGACTAAACTGAACTGATCAATATTAGTCCAAAACCTTTAGAAGGCAGACAGGGATGTTGCTAATTTTTCTCATGCACACACAGCAATGAGATTATTTGTAAATACATATATAAGTGGTTCTTGTGACTGAATGGAGAGCTTGAAGCAGAAGAAGCAGAAAGAGGTGGGGGGCGGGAAGTCATATGAAGCTGGAAAAGGAGGGTGGAAAGATCTGAGGAGGAAAAGATGGAGGGACAGAAAGACCTCAGGTGGGAAGAGGATTAGAGCAGAGCAAGAGGAGGAGAAAAAGAAAGGGGGCACGAGGAGGAAAGGGAAGAAAATTTGAGAGAAAAATAGGACATGAAGCTGGGAGGAGGCCAGAAGACAGAGAAAGGAAAACTAAGCAGGTACCGAACCAGTAAGAACCAATCCATACCAACACAAATCCTTCCTCTTCCCTCCCGTGCCGTATACCATCACCTGCTGGTTTCCAACACAATCAATTGATTAGAACGGCACTCATCTCCCCGACGCTTCCCATAGCACACAATCACAACATTCTCATTAAGCTGCATTCATTCCTGCGGCACATGCAATCATTCCTCATTCCTGACAGGGGCTGGATCCAGACTGTGATTGGAAAACGAGCAGCGGCGGTTCTGGACAGATGAGCCGAGCTTGAAAAGGGTTCATTCGTTTTCACGTGTATTTGAAAGAATCTCTATTTAGTGTATATAGAAATAAATATACTGTCAATTTTCATCAAATAAATATATTACAAATAAACTCTGGGTGCAACAAGTGCTTGTGTTGCCCCCTATGTGATGCCGCCCAAAGTGGTGAGCCATTCCACCCAAAACTATCACCATAGAGTGAAGTCTGAGATTTGAATGGAGCACATTTTTGACATTTTTCTTTTCATCACAAATGGAAAAACAAAAGTTCACGCAGGGTGAGTTGGTAAAAGGAGAAATGAGGCAATTTGTTGAGGCTGAATCTTTAAATTATGAGTTTTAGAGTGTGAGGCACACAGACACTCAGGAGGGGGGTTGAGACCAGACAGACTAATCTGTGGCTTCAATAATGGATGTACCTGCAAACTAGTGAACCATAGGCCACTACAACACATGACTGCGTGTGTGTGTGTGTGTGTGTGTGTGTGTGTGTGTGTGTGTGCGTGTGTGTATGTCAGAGTGTGTTTGTGCACAAGCCGTTTGGGCGTGAATGGAAACTAGATTTGTGCGTGTGCGTGCGTTTTCACACCTTGCCTCCTTAGCCTCCTCTTCTTCAGCCCGAATATCCGGACTTTGGAGAAGATGTCGACCAGGTTGCCGTTGCACAGCCCCTGCTTCTTACCGGGGCTTTTCCGCCGCCGGTGAGCAGTCGGTCGGTGGGCGTGTTGCTCCCTGGCCTGCCGCTTTTGGCGGATCAAACCGCTGGCGATGGCAGCTGCCATGTCTCCGCCGAAACAGACGACAGGAAAGCAACGCCGTCTCCGTCCGCGTCTCCGGTATGTTCAGTGTCCACCGGAGGGGACGGAGCGCAGACAAAATTCAGACACAGACCCCCCTCCCACCCCACCCCCCCAAAGTCTCCGCTTTACCGCCTATAACAGCCCCATACTTCAGCTCCAGCACGGTGAAGTCCAGAATAAACACTCGAGGTCACAGCATCTTGTCTGCTGACTATCCTTCAGGCCATAGGTTGGAGGAGCGCGGCGGGGTACCTGTCCGTCACGTCTCACCGGTCTGTCTGTCAGTCAACAGCTGTCACTGAGCGGCATCTTCAGCGCTAAATTCCCGGAGCGTGTGTGTCAGTTCGTGTTCCCATAGTCAACAGGCGAGCCGAGTAAAAATACGGAAGAAAAATTAGGCTGAAAAAGCCCCAGAAAGCAGTTATGTCCTCTTTTGTGAGCAGGTCTGTTTGTATTCCGCTGACTGAAGAGAGAGGCGCGCGCGCTGGAACCGCGAGCCGCTCCAGCTGCGTGGAGTGAGACAGGCTCACCGGAAACAGCAAATCTGGTTTTTCAAAATAAGACGTAATTGTCTCTTTCCCTCTCTTAATTTTTAAAACTTAAATGATAATTTCCGAAAAATAACCAAACTATTCCACACATTTGTTTTGGCGACTGGATTATCTCATGATAAATCAGTAATAAAATAAATAATAGTTAAGTGAAAACATTAATTTTATTTTACGTTTTTATGTTTAAAGGGGCAGTATTTTGTATTTTCAAGGCACATACGGCCATTTTATAGCCTAATTAACTGTCTTTGGTTGTAAAAATTCTGTTTATATCAGTTATGACTTAAAAGAAAACAAGGACATAGACAGATTTTATTGTCATTCAGTTGTACATTTTATGCACATATTGAATGAAATTTTGTTGAAAATTCTGCCTTGAAATTGGACCTCTATCTCTTTAAGACTTTTGCTCTTTCTGAAACTCCACAATCAGAAAGTCATCACAGCATCGCTCCTCTGTTAACCCTTTAACAATACTTTTATCTTAGTCTGAAGGGCCTGAGTGATGGAGTCAACCGGTGCTCTGTGAGGCGGAAGCTTAGACGCTTGGAAACTCCAGCTCTGAGGAGGCGCCGAGCTTGAAGGCAGGGCTAGGTCCACCCAGGCGTTTTGCATAACTGACATTGACATTGAAATGAAAGAATTTCTCAAACATGCATGAACAAATATGGAACAAACTTCCAGCAAACTGCAAAGATGCAGAAACACCGAGTTCCTTTAAGTCAAGGCTAAAACCCCACCAACTTAGATCTGCCTTTGATTAGTAGAAAGTGTAGCACTGCTGAACATACTGGATGTGTACCAGCTTGATGGCATTTGACAAAATTATTTGTTTTATAATTGGTTACTCTCTCTCTCTCTATATATATATATATACATACATACATACATACATACATACATATATTGTGTGTGTGTGTGTGTGTAAGATTCCATGTCCTCTATCATCGTTGCCCACCACGTATCTTTGGGTACACATTTTATTTTGAAGGGGACGACCGGATGTCTCGCTGACAGCGGCTCTGGTACCTTGACGTTTGAGTCCGCGAGCGCTGTCTGGGGCTACACAGCTGCTGTAGCCGCGAGCCAAGCGCGCAGTGACACACGCGCTCTGAACAACAACCTGGCCGTCCTCACTGAGGTCCGGTGAGGTGTTCGTTGTTTGTCTGGTGGCAAGATGCGACCAGAGGGAGGAGGAGACGGAGGAGCAGGTGCAGAAGAAATGAGCCTTCTGAACGGAAACATGACAGAAGCGTTTATCTCAGGATTAAACCAGGTAAAATATAAACAAAAATATGGTTGATCGAGAAGGCAGATTGATTATATTTTTATGTAAAATTTAGAACTGAGTTTCTGAGGGAAATTGTAATGTTATAAATTATAAAGAAAAAATTATTTTGTTGCTTTGGGTGTATCAAGCACGTTTTTGATAACGCAGTAACATTATAACATGATATTTAGCTATAAATAAATAAATAAATAAATAAATAAATAAATAAAAGGTAAATTTTACATATTATCCAACAGACTTTCCTTCAGAGTCCTTTTAAGGCTTATGCACCTTTTTACTACCACATGTTTTCCTTCCACTAAATTTTCCATTGAAATGCTTGGAAATAACTCTCCAGCCATCCAGCTTCATTGACTATGACTAACTTCAGCTGCATGTAGAGACTGCAATATAACATTTCTGTCTTAAAAATCCCTTTTGCAATATTCAATTTTTTCTGGAAAGCTGAATTTTGTGTTGTCATTAACTGCATGCCAGAATCATAAACATAAACAAAAATAAATGAAAAGTTAGTTTGTAATAAATCTAAAAGGGTTCCACTTTCTGAATTAAAATACTGAAATAATTTTGGGTACACTCTTAATGACTGAGATGCACTATGCTTTTTGTTGCCATTTACAATATGAAAATTAATGGGAAACAACCAAATAGGATAAAAAGGAACCCAATGAGCCTCAGATTGATGTGAACACAAATAGCCACAATGAGATCATAAAACATCCTACATGAAACACATTGACCGTAATGGGCCAAAAAATAACCTCTGCTTCATGTGCATAAAGGTATGGTGCGAACACTGAAACCTACCCGGCTCATTATCTCTCTCCCCACACATTCCCAACTGTCTGTATTCAGCTCAGGAACAGCTGTCTGAATAAACGGTTTAAAAATGCAAGAGGTGGGCTCGATTGATGGGCTGATTAGCTGCAGCACAGCCTGGCATGTCTGCTTTTATCTTTCAGGTGCAGGTTTCCAGCCGGAAGATTAACTACTATGGCTGACATTTCCTTCATATATACACATATAAAAGCACGTCAGAGCCAGTAACAGGAGTTGATTTGGAAATAAAAAGTATAATTATTGAAATATACCCCACTGAAAATACATTTAGGTTTTTTATATGCATGTTAGAGCAAATATAGTTCATATTTATGATAGGCAATGCTTAAGAAAAGTGACAGGTCCCAAAATAAAATGCAGGTTAGGATAAACATTACCCTCTAGTTTTCATATATTACAATAACAAAAAAAAACAGAAAATAATGATAAAAAGTAATAAGATTTAGTCATAAATAAAATATTAGAAATTGCCAGAATGATTTGAGCTCATTTCAGCACCTTGGACAGAGTCTCTACATCACAATAATAGCCACTAGGTGGCAGCAGAGCATCTCCAAGGAAATTAACCGCAATTAGTTGATGACTCTATTTGATATTACAATATATTATTAACAGTCTCAAACAATCAACTGTGACGTAGTTCTATGTGGAGTTAGTATGGGATATGTACTTTAAGAGTGTTTAAGTAACTCAAAAATAATCATAAATCGGATTAAACATTCTTACGACTTTAACTGTTTTTCTGTGTTTTTTTTTAACCAATTTGTTTTCAAATCTATTGCAGAAAAATCCAGAATCTTCCACAAGAGTCCAGAGTTTCTGTCTACATCACCTGGTGCAGCAGACATATGAAAATTTAAACATGTTTTTGTGTATTTTCATTGTTTTGCTTGTCAGTCTGACTGACAAAAATATGCACAGAGGTATGAATGTGCTCTGTTTATGTCTGTGTGGAAGGAGGAGATGTGTACACCCACATCTATCCAGGTCAGTCCAGGCAAAGGAGTTATGAATAAATCAGAGCTATATTTACATTAAAATTCAGCCACAGGGTTGCTTTTTATGCCATTCCAGAAAGGCAAGGTGCAGCGATTAGACCTCAAAAAGGAAAATTTGTCTCCCTCCTCTCTGCACCTGCTTTTTTCCTCAAAGAAATGTGTCTGCCCGTCCCAGTTTTTATTTTCCTTCCAGAAGCATGGTCGGAAAGAAAACTGACAAAGTTGCAAATGCTACAAACTGACGCCTGCAAAACGCCAAAAAGAAGAAATGCTGTGCATCAGTGGTTGCATTGACAGCCAACATGACTACATAATTATGTTTCACTACATTTGAGGAGCATCTTCACGCCTGGGTTTCTTGTCGCTCCATACAGAAGCAACAGCACCCTCTAGAGATCCAAAAGGGCAACAGCGATATTTAATCATCGTTTCCCCTCCCTCTTCACTGTCCTCCGATCCTTCACATGAAAAAGACAATAAAATCAGACGTAATAACTCTGGACCTATACTGATTACAATTTATATCATAACTAAATAAATAACTTATATATTTGACATGTTTGGCAAAAATAAAAAAGAGAAATTTGCCATTTCTGGTTGCCGAAGTGCTAGACTATTAATAAAACTTTAGCAGCTCTATTTTTTAAATTTTTCAGCTGTTGGAATCAGATTTTTTAACAGGAATTTAAGTTATGAAAATGATTTGATGTTTTATTCTGTAACACTCTGAAAAAATATACATACTTTTTTAAAAATCTAAATTATTTCAGAACTCAAAGCAATATACTTTTTGAGAATATTGATTTAGAGCAGAAAGATTAACTATAGCATTTGCAGTAAAAATAAAAAAAACTGATTATTGTAAGTATACTATATATTAAAAAATATAGAAAAATACATATCAAAATGGTGGTAAAAGTGCTTTACATTAACACACACGCCAGAACTGAACTGAATATTCCACAAAACCACTTCATTTTCTCATTTAGACCAGTATTACCATATGCCAAGACACATAGTAAAAAAAAAAAAAGCAGCTTAAATAAAACACAATTTCTAATTATAAATCATAATTAATATTGATAACTGGTTAATACTTTTAACTAACTCAAAAACAAAGTTCTGATCATACTGTTGCATAAGAAAAAATGTCTGAAATCAAACTTCTTGCAGTTGTTGACAGCAAATTGTATTGGAATTCACATTTGAATTTGTAAGTCAATTGGAAAGCATTGACAGTTTTTTTACACCTCCCTATATAAAGTCACCATTTGAAAGTGTGGGAGATGAATATAAAATTAACACTAATTCTGTTCTAATTCTAAGTGTAAGAAATGTAAATGGAGCTAATTACAATCAATGTCAGCAAATGCCTTGTCAAATTAAATTAATTAAAGTTCATAAATTAGAGTTCTAAACCATCTTAAATTAAGTAAAAGATTTAGTATCTGTAAAAAATCAATTATTGTGTGAGAAAAAAGTACTTCTGACTTCAAAAGTCAATTCATGTGTGAGAACCTCTAGTATGGTCTAATGCTGTGCAACACTGTGTTTTAGTTAGAGTGAGTCTGTGTAATAGTTTCAAAAATAAAATGAAAGAAACAAAAGCATTAATCATATTTAGATATGTATATAGTATTTAAAAGCAGTAGCATTGTTTGGGTTAAATCTGACTATTGAAGGTCCTTACTCGTGATGAAAAAGCGGTGCAGTTATAGAGAAGAGTCAGAAGGGGGCAGCTGGCTGCGTCTGTGGCACTAAAGTAAATTATCAGGTTTCTCTCAAATTCTTAGAGCTGGAAAATATTAGCACTCATTTAGTTCTGTTGTGAT